GGCGTGGGGGGATGTGCGGGGGCTGGGGTTCTGCTCTGCCCGGAGCCGGTCCTGGACCGGGGAGCGTTGTTCGAGGAGCCGGCAGAGCTTCACTCACCGTTCCTTTCTCCCGGCTGCAGCCGGTATCCACGCCGCCTTCCCCCGTCAGAAGGGGCTTGATGCGCACGAGCAAATCCCTTGCAACGCTGAAGTCCCGCAGCTTTGTCCCTCTGGCTCTGTTTCGCCCTAAAGCAGTGCTGGTAACTCGGGGTTTTGCCTCCCCCCCGCTATCCCTTAAGGCGCAGAGGCTGCTGGTGCACCGGAGACCGCGGAAATCCTTCTTCGAGACGCTCATCAGGAGCCTGATCATCCTGTGCGTGGCCATAGCGGTGGTCTTGTCGTCCATCTCCATCTGCGACGGCCGCTGGCTCTTCGCGAGGGGGCAGCTCTTCGGACTGTGGCACTTCTGCACCGTTGGCAATGGCAGCGTCCTCAGGTGCGTCACTGACTTCAGCCTGGCCAACGTGGAGGGGCTGAGCCTGGGGGTGATTCCCATCAGGAGCATGGTGTCCTTCGCCGTTGTGGTCGCCATATTTGGCCTGGAGCTCCTGATGGTGTCCCAAGTCTGCGAGGACGCCAACGCAAGGCGTAAGTGGTCGATGGGATCGGTTCTCATCCTCGGCTCGTTTTTGCTGTCGGCCACCGGGGTTCTGAGCTTCTCCATCCTCGTGAAGGATCATCTCACCTTCATGGGCTTCACGCTGACGTACTGGTGTGAGTTCGTCGCTGCCTTTCTCTTTTTCCTTAACGGGATCAGTGGACTTCACATCAACAGCCTCACGCACCCCAGGAACAGGGTAGGCAAAATCTAGGCACGAAGGGTGTACCTCCGCCTTGGTGTAATCAGCTTTGCCAATTAGACTGGAAAAAAGGGAGTCTAATGAAGTTTGAAAAGGACACCATGTCTTAAATTGTGTGCAAGGAGGGGGAAGTGTGAGTCAGTCCTGTTGCCTGTAGAATCCATACCCACCCATGGGTCAGTGTGGAGAGCTGCGCAGCATGAGCAAAGCAGAGACTGGGACTGGCTGCCTCTGAAATGTGGTTTTCTGGAGGGGTGGATTGAAGAAGAGGACATCAAGTTAAATGTGCGGAGGGGTGGTGGACCACGATCTGCACGTGGGCTCACACAAAGCCTGTACTGCTATGGGTTTGGTGTTGCTGGGCTTTCCCCTGTGCTCTGGAGCTTGTGGAGAGCGTGACACAACTTTGGTGTGGTGTGTTTCACAGCTTTGCTCTGTCTCAGGGACCGATGATTTGTGCCTGGCCGTGCTCACTGGCTTTGGAGTACTGAAAATCTTCACTGGATCTCACTCCTCCATTTCTGTTTCAAAAGAGAAGGCGCACAGATCTTGATCTGGTCACCCGCTTTGTTTCCTCCTGGCACGTTCCCTGTATCTGTCCTTTCCTCTGAGTTTTTCTGGGATACCTCAGACAGAGGCGCAGGGAAATGCTGCTGTCTGGGGGCCCAGGGCAGGCGTTGGGTGATGCAGGTGTGTACGGCAGGGTTGCGATGCCTTCCCCGGGCAGCTGTGCTTGTTCTGTGCTCACTGCCTCCCTCCCACTCCTCCTCCACCCCAGCAGGACACATGCCCATCAGTCACCCAAACTGGCTCCCTCACAGCCCTTGCAGAGTTCTCCATAACGGGACATTGCTCTTCCTGGTTTCTTTTTTGTCCTTTTGGGGCAAGAGGGACAAGGTCTGCAGGGGCTTTAGGTGGGCATTGTGGCTGGGCAGACCATGCTGAGACCACTGCACCTTCTGGGGTGTGTTTTGGTTGTCAGGGTTTCCCCGCTGGGGCAATGGGAAATCTGCTCACCCCGTAGCCGAGAGTCTCCTATAGTGTTTCTGCTGGGAGGAGAAAGCTCTAAATCCTCATGACCAGACCAAGTCCTTCCCCTCATTAACAGTGGGCCTATGAGGAGAAGCTGCCCACGATTGCCTAAGGAGGGGCTGATGGGGGCAGCTTTAATCTGTCACAGCTGGGGAAATCCAAGGAGACTTGGCCAAAATTACATTAAGGCTGGTCTTCCTCCTGCCAATGCCTGGGTCAGGACCTCTACAATTGCTGCAGCTTTCAAGTTTGCTGTGGCATCTGATGTAAAATGAGAAACAATGTCAGAGGTTGGGTTGCCCCACGTGTCCTCCCTGCCCAACATACAGCACTCCATGGACCACAGATGAAAATGTCTTCAGAGTATTTCAGGGTCTCTCGTTTAACATCTGTTTTGTATCCCCTAGTAAGACTGCTTGTATTTTTGTTTTAGGACAAATGCTTCTACAGGTGTCACCTCTGTAGCTTGTCTGATAGCTGTTGAGCAAGGTTTTAATTTCCTGTACAGCAAGTTTGACACAATTTTTCAGCTGAAACAAAAGCATTGTAGCACAAAGGCAGAGAAGGCTGTGTAGGTAAGCCATGAGTAAACAGCTTTGTCTTGGAAAGCTAAGAATTTTAAGTCCCGCCTAAGTGTACATCCACACTTGCTGAATGTGCTCCTGTGGAACTGCTGCCTTCGTGACGACAGTCTCCATTCCTTCTCAGATTTCCATCACTTTTTTCACAATAATGCTCCTAAGCCTGTTTTGCCATGCAGTTTCAGACCAGGCTTGCTCAGGACAGTGCCAGCTGTGCTTTTGTGTGAGTCTGCCCGTCTTTCTGGTGAGATAACGCACAAAGCTGTGCTGCCCAGCCAGCTCCTGAAGCTCTGGCAGTGTTTGGGGCTCTGTCGGGTTTTATCGACCTGCTCTCAAGGACAAGTGCCCTTAACCTGCCTCTGGAAAACCACACAGTGATTGATTGTGTCCCTTGGTGAAGGTGCTTTAGATTTGCTGAATTGCACTGTTGAAGACATGCTGGTGGGCTGAACTTGCAGATGCTTGTGTGAACAGTGCTGTTGGCTTGAGCAGAGCCGCTTACCCCGGAGAGAGTCTGCAAGATCCAGTCCCACACTGTTGCACTTTGGTGTAACCGGGCGGCTGAGTGCTGTAACTGACCAATGAACTGGCTGTGGTGCGCAGGGGTGCCCATGCCAGGCAGGACAGTTCACCTACGCAAGGCCAAGGGTGTCCATGGCTTGTCTAGAAACACAGACATAACTTCAGAGTGCCTTCCTGGTGACATCCAAAACTGGAAATCATTTCTGCGTGTCCTCCCTTCCGTGCTAGTGGGACGCTGTGTGCCCGGTCCCTTCCCTGGGGGAAGGCAGCCATGGCCCGACCCAGTCCCATGCTGGTGCCTTCTCAGGTTGGAGGGAGGTAGTGGACAATTGGCCACCGAGTTCACCCAAGACTTGGTGCAATTGTGAATGATTTCTAGGATGCCCTCTGCTAGCTGAAGAAGAGGGCTTTTGTTCGGGGTAGGGAATCTTCTAGGGGAAGTACAGTAACTTTTTTTTTCCAACTGGCTTTGTATAGTACTGCTTGACTTACTAACTCCAGGAGAAGATGCATTTTGATGGCTAAAACTACAAAACCGAGTTGATTGTCTTGGAGACATCTTCATATACAGCAATCTGTACAGCAATGGGTAACTTCATTTCTGAAGCCTGTGGAAATGTCAAGCAATATTCCTGAAGTTTGTTAAATAAATTTCTTTGAAAAAAGGTAACTGTAATTCTCTTTTTATATTTAGATATTGGGGTGCAGATTGAAGGGGATGAGTGGGGTTTGTGATCTCTGAGGTGCCAGTTCTGTGTGTTTACCCAGCCAGACCAATGAAGAAATGACTGCTTGGCACTTTGCCGGGCTCTGACCAAAGGAGCCGCTGCACACTCCCTTCTCCTTTCTCCTCCAGCGTGTCCACACCACCCCAAGCAGCCAGCACTGCTTTCTTGTCTTGCAAAACAAGAGGGGCAGTCAGCTGTGCTGCTTCATGGGAATTAGAGATAACCTTGTAGTCTCTTAATGATTTCCTGCTGTTGCATGTGCTCTGTTTACCAGCTAAAGAGCTCTTTCCTGTGTCCTTCACCTCCCTTTTCCCACACCGCACCCTGTGTCTGAAGCATCCTTGCTCTCTTCCCCAGCTTTGCTTATATGGCCTGCAGAAGTGGTGTCTGAGCACAAAAGTATTTATACAGTTTTTCCCCAAGCTCGCTGTATGAACAGGTTTAGTTTAATGTCAGGAAAACAGGTTTCCAGCTTCACCGCTGAATTAATTTATGTAATCTCAAGTAAGTAAATTAGTAGCTGATGCTCTCTTTCTGAAGGGAGAAGTCATTGGCCTGTCTCAGATGGTTTGGTATCTCTTAAGAGCAGGGTAATGAACATCACCTCTTGTTAATGAGCAGTTTAGACTTCCTTAGTTTCTAACTTTAATTGGAAGCTTGTGCACAAGCCATTGCTTGCGGATAAGAATAAGGAAATAACTGTGCAGGGCATGCTAGCTGGGGACATATTCTGGACTGTTACTGGTATTTTGATTTTAAGTGTACAGTGCCTTCATCAGCTGTGCTTGGTGGGACACCTGGTTTGGGAGCTGAGCTTTGCTTGCTTTTGTGAGTCAGGGGAAGGTGATTGCCCTCAGCTGCCCTCTCTTTCTCTCTGCTGGGGCCTATGGTAAGCAGGTAATGGCCCTTCTTCTGAACCTTCCACATTAGCTTGCACATGTAAGAAGGGCCTGCCTTCTGGGTGAAAGAAAGGTCTGCCCTGAGGGGTGTACTGGAAGGGGTGTTGGCTGGGTTCTAAGGGCCTCTCACCTGCACGTGGATCCTACCCCCTTGAACTGGCACGGCTCCCTCCTGAAACAGTTCATGTCAGCTCCCCCAGTGCCCAGCGAGGCGTTGCACAATGTAATTATTCACTGCACAACAATACTGCTTCTTGATTCTGACAGTTCTGCTGGGAACTTCCTTGTTACTGTGTTGGGAGAGAAAAGCCATTAATCACTTCCTCTTAAATTCATCCTGCTGATGTTCAGGCTGCTGGAGCTGCTGCCTGCACCGCTGCTTTGCAAAGCTGCAGCTGGCTGCTTGGGGGATGTGGAGTGAATGGGCTGTCACCGGTGTCCCAGAACGATGACAGCTACTTGTCTGAAAAATGGTACTCAAGTCCTATCTGCTGATAGCAAACACCTGCTTTACACTGAATATCGAGGAACAAGTACAGAGAAAGGGAAGTTGGTGAACTCTCAATATGGAGTTTGTGTTCGGCCCGTGTCAGTTGCTTCAGGCCACGGACGCTGGAGTCTGCGTGCCTTGCACCCGTTCAACTCCTGCTTTTTGCGTTGCTCACTGAGATTTACTTCCCTGTTCCTCTTCATCTGCTTATAAACATGTCAGCACTCCTGGAGCTAAGTAGCTCTTTTCTTCGGTACGGTTAATCAAGAGAGATCCCCAGCAGGGAAGGGTCCTTTTGCATCGCCTGTGCAGAAGATGGACAAGGTGAGAACCTGTCCCGCTATGGTGGTGCTTGGCAGCAGCTTTCTACACCCAGGTCACAGCACCGTAACGCCTGGGGCTGCCTGCTTCTGGCATCTGCCCGAGGGGACTTGCTCTTCGCAAAGCACCGAGGACTCTGAACACCAGCTGACATCCAAGGGGTTTTATGGAGCCTCAGCTTTTCATACAAGCCAGGCCAGCACTCGATGCCTGAAGCAAACATGAAACAGAGAATCTAGGAATACTTCTTTTTTTTTGTTATTTCAGGCAAGTCAAATAAAACCAAACTGGCCATGTACAACAATAACTTTGCTAGAAGTTTTTTATTACATACAAAAAACAGCAGTGTTTTGTTTCAGGACATGTGGTTTGTCCCTGTTCCACCAGGACTCCTGTACAAATAGGTGTCACCTCAGCCTGAGCTCCACCCGACCTTGTG